TTGATTCAATCTGAAAATGATAACAGCTTCTTTCTTTACGACCGAAAAGTTTTTTTCCTTCCTAACTGCTCTTTCAGCTAGTGATGTACTAGGCGATCAGTGAATAAGTGTTCTCATAACAACATGGTCAAAAAGAAAACTCAAGTAGCCAGCTTGGCTTATTTTTGCAACATATGTGCATAGATGTTAGGTAAAAATTATCTCAAACAGTGTAGGAAGTAAAAGTGCTGCCTTGAACGACCACTTGCACCCTGCTATCAATTTTCACAAGGTCATTCGCAAGATCGATGTGAGATCTTGTCGTTTCAGGTTCTGCTATTTTTAGGAAATTTCAAATGGTTTGCACACTTCCTGTCGCTCCAACCCAACTACAGCATTGGAGTTGAATAATTGGATTGAACAATATATCTGCGTAAAATTCTAGTGCGATTCACTGTGGAAACAAAAGAGTTTTTAGTTTCGATTGTTCTTTTTTCACACATCAAAGAATCAACTAAGACAATTTATTAATATGGCAACAAGTTAGCGTGTACAGAGAATGATAAGATCACCGAGTAAAGTCTGATGAAATCGCGTTAAAAATCTGTTTTTGGTCGTGTTTCGATCCATTTCTTGATATTTGGAATTGCCTGGATTTTCTCCATGTGAGCTTTCACCTAGAAAAGGTGATTTGCATTCTTGTTTGCCAAATATATATAAACCGCTTACCTCAGGATATCCCTCAACGAACTTTGCATCGAAGTGAAGCATCGTGGAACTATGTTCAGCTACAAGCAGATCTACCCATGTGACTGAATCTCCAACCAAGAAACCTAAAAAGGTGAACAATATAGGAAAGTGAGAATTTGGGAGACTTGGATGCCTGATGCCGATTTTTCATCTAGCTTTAGAGAAGTTATGAGCTCACCGGATTTGTTCTGTTTTAGAAATTTGGTAATGATATCCAAGTACTTTTTGCGTGCCGGCATGAAGACGTCTTTCTTGAGTTCTTCCTGAAATGAACTTTGAAAAATTACATTGTGGTCCGAAGACTCTGATGAGAAGCGAAAATGGGTATTGTGAAATTTTGCGTTTTTGCCACTTACCGCGTTACCCTCCTTCATTCCAGCAGCAACATACAGCCATGGTTTGATTTCAGTGCGATAATCAGTGTACTGATCAGCTAACATATCAACAAAAGCTTCATCTTTTGGAGATTTGCCAGCAAATCCTAAAGTTGCGGTGTTATTTGATGTGAAATAAAAATATTAACAAACCGAATTTTCTAGCCAGATAGCGGCAGATCGCCAGCGATTGAGCTATCTGTGTGCCGTCGACGTCGAGCACCGGAAGCTGACCGAATGGGGTTTCTGGAATAAAGCGATCAATAAATCGATATTATTTTAAC